GTGTATAGTTTTGCTAGGAGTGTGTTGATCATTTGGAAATTGAGTGTAAGCAGTGAGTTGTGTTTACAGTTTTGCAAAAAGAGTGCTGTGCAGTGGATTGTAGCTACAGGTTTGCAAAGTGTGTGTTACAAAATGGCAAACTGAGTGCAAAGCAGTGTTTGTGCTTTTAGTTTTGCAAACTCAGTGAGTGGTTTTGCTATAAGTATTAATAGTTTTAGAAATTGTGCTGTAAGAATCACAGTTAGGGTTTAAGCATTCAGAAAAAACTGTAACATTTATGTTGTAGACTGGCGTGTTCTAAATCCGTACTGATTGTAAAGAGTAGTTTGCACTTGTCAGTGATTTTTTTCCTGACAGTGAAAATCATTTTTGAGAATTGTAGTAGAAGGAAAAAGACCTGGAAGTGGTGTTTTTTACCTTCGGTCTGGGTGTTCTTTCATTTGAATAGTTGCACTCACCCTTCAGAAAGGTAGATGGAGTGGAGTCGGCCTTTCAGAGAGTCAATGTAGCATTTCTTCAGAGTTTTCTCAAACGACTTGTTGATGAGCGCCAGCAAACAATCCACATCAATTCCATCTAGAGAGTTATACCTACACACACACACACACACACACACACATATAGATAAATATCTATAGAGCAGTGTATTTTTTTTATGCTTGTATGTGTGTGGAGGTAAAAGTAATGTCTTGTTTGGGGTTAATGTTGGATTATGACCTGGTTTGAATTCATACTGGAGGAGTTTGTGTAATATCTACTGACCGGTGTATGGGGTCTCCATTTTTAAAAAGTGTTCCAGACCCTGAGAAATAGACAAAAAAACTTATGTTAAATTTTTTTGAGGTGGTGGCCAAAACAACCTTCACACACATACAAATATGGTGCCTTCAAAAGTTACATCTCAAAACAGGTGCGTCTCCATACATGGCTGCATGTGTACATGTGGCACCCATAGAAGTCCGTCGGTTGTCTCACCTCTGTGGCTGAACAGTTCGGTCAGCAACGTGTCTGCCGATGTGATCACAGCAGAGGACTCAGCTGGCAACTGATTGAGAAGTCTGGCTATGGCGGTCACTCTTTGGCGTTCTGGTGCGCTTAACCAAGTCGCAGTGGACAGGCCAGGTAGGTCAGCAGGCAGCGACACTGTACCTAGCACCTGCACCAAGATAGAAAGCATTAAGAAAGAGATAGCGAAAATATAAATGATTAAAAAAATAAGACAATAATTGCAGAGTCAGCGTGGGAGCCAGATGTTGTGCCTTTTGTTCTTGGCTTTGCAGGCCCCCAAAGTTGTTCAGGAACATGACTTTGTGTGGATGCAGGGTTCGGGATATTGCCGCCGTCACCTCTGTCGGGTCCAACATTACCGAGCAACCTTGCGCGTCCCTGCCTACCGGACAAACCAGTGGGATTGCCCCACAGTTCAGACTCCACTGGAGGAGGTTGGTATCCATAGTAATGGATGGAGGCGCACTGCAAGGAGAGGGAAAGGAAAAGAGTAAGGGCCTAACCTCATGAGCACCTAGAACTAGGGCAGGGTATATGGCCAAAAATATTTATCACGATATACATTTGAAAATTTGCGATA